GGAGGAGGGTCGCCGGGCGCTCGCCGACTCAATGGGGAAGGCGGCAGGGCTGGAGAAGCTCGCCGAGCATGCTCCACCGGTGAGGAAAGACGCCTTGTTTCCTCCGCCCAACGCCGCCGGAGAAAGGAGAGCATCATCAGAGAGGGGAAAGGCCGCCGACGGGGAGAGAGGAGCGGCGCCACTGCGGGGCAGGTCGCGGCCCCCGGCTTCACGCGGTTGCTCCCGCCGTCTCTCCCTCCTGCGTCAAATCCGTGCCACGAAGCGCTTGCCCTTCCTTGCTCCCGCCACCAGAGGTTGTCGCCGAGGTGAGGAGGTGTTGGATGGATGGGCAGCGTGGAGGGGATTAGGTGGGGAGAGAGATTTTATATTACTTTCTTGATTTTGGATGTTAACTGCAAATTTTGGAATACCATGTTAATTGAAAAAACATAAAAGAGACTAAAATACAAAATGTCTGTAAGTCCCACCATAGAAATTTTTTTAAACCACATCTTGCATCCTTTGAAGTTGCTAAGCCTACATGGCAGCTGAGGTCTAGCAAATTGCTTGGACGCATTGCCATTGCCCTTAGCGACCGGTGAAACGATACGAATGATTAATTGAGATCTTTTTCACTACCTAAGTTGTTTTGTAATGGACAGTTCGATTGTCACTGGTATGTGGGACCCCCACGAAACAAATCAACAACTGATGACCCCACAAATTGATCATTGAGCTTGCATAACCCAGACAAATGATAGAGAGAAGGGGGCGTAGCCCCACGAGGATGGCTCCAAAAGTCTCCAATTGCAATCCAATCCAATCCATTGCATGGCAAAATTCGACACGTGGCAGTGATTAAGCAAGAACAGATCAAGATCCAAACACATTGTGATCGAAGTTTGCCGGCTAGTATACACAGTCCCAAGCTTTTATCATGGAGGAGATGTGTTCTTGGCCAACCACCTACAACCTCCAATTTGGCAGCATTCCACTTGGCTACAAAAAGGTTGTGATCATCCATGCATGCATTCAGCATGACAAAGGTTAATTAAATTAAAAGATGGATAGCATAGCACTATTAGTATTAGTTAGTTTCAGGTCAAACTATCTGTTTGGTGAGTGACTAAGAATATGGTAAAATGAGTTAAGTGTGGCTCCTCTTGTGCTTCTTTTCCTACTAATTCAATGCTGTGAATGCTTGCAAAGAAACAGTTGAGGAAAGAATTAGACACCTACCTAAAATAACTGAGGCATGACCACTAAGGTTTAAGCTTTTGACTCAGAACTGGACACTCTAAAACAAGAAGAAGACAATACATTTCACAAAACCACGTATATTTTTACAAAAACGATCAAAACTATAGGTTTAAAACATCACATCATAAAACTATAGGTTTAGCGTTGAACTTATCCCGAAACTAATTCAATCTAAAATGTTAAAAATACAGTTTTAACGATAAATTTATTTAAAATTATATTTTGAGAGGTTAAAACCTACAGTATCATTTTCATAAGCTACTAAGAGCAGGTACAATAGCAGACTATAAGCTTACTATAAATATATTTTAAAAAGATAAAAGAAGAGAGAAAAGAGCAGCGGGCTACAGATCTGTAGCCAGCTGCAGCACAGACTACAAAACGTAATGTGTATATGACATGTGGAACCAGGTATTAATAGTATAGTAAGCAACTATTGTATGAATTGGCTGTTACATTGGCTATAGATGGTTTGGAGCTAGTAGCCGGCTATACTATTAAACTTGCTCTAACAAACGCTAAACATATAGTTTTTCGGTACTATGGCTTAAGGCTGTAACTTTGTGATGAACTTGATATTATAATTTGCGGTTTTGTAATATTATGGATTAAAGAGTACATATATACTCACACATATCTAGATTTATAGCCAAAATATCTTTATATTTAGAGCTAGAGAGAGTAGTTTTGTTAATAATGCTAGTAGTTTCATGAAATTTACTACTACTACTCATCAAAGAAATAATAGACATCAATGCCCACTGATCAGAAGAGGTAGGGCACACAGGATGAAGGAACAGACTGAAGAGATGGCACTTTTTTTTGTGCATGATCACTTGAGCATAAATGCAAAGCAATGCTGGGGCCTCAAGACACTGAGGCAAACTGTAGCTAGAGACTCATTGTATGCACCTCCTTTTGACAACATCCTCTCTCCGAAAAATCGATCTATTCGTTGCCCTTGTCCCCTTATGCCTCTTCTTCCACTGCTCTCTTCTTTGTTTCTTGTTATCACCATCATCATCATCATCGCCTGAATCAGATTCCATGCATCTCATGATGTTCACATGCATATCAGTCCATGATAATTCAGAAAACAGGTTTATACTCTTTCTTTCTCATGAAAAATTCAGACTCAGATTCATCATTCATGGAGGTTTTGGCACTTCTCTTCCATGGTCACAATCTGTTGAAGACAATTGTTATGAGTACATAGTCTTTTTTTTTGTTTTTTTTTCTTGAGTGAATGGAATAGAGAGATGAACAGTCGCCGACACGGAGGCCCCACACGACAGTGACAAGAGGCGTCGCGGGCATTTTCGACCTAACAGAAAAACATTATTGTTTGTTGTTTTGTGCTGATTGCAGAAGCTTTTGGTGTCTGAGGATGGTGCCCACAGTGGTACTAGCCATTATACTGAAAGATGGACCACTTGTGTTCTTATGATGCAATGCAAACCTATCTCTTCCTGCTACTATTCCAGTGTTATGATGGTTTTCCTCCAGGAGCATTCACCATTCAGGAGCAGCTTTGGAGAAAGCTTACATGAGAGAGCAGTTTTCAGAGGAAAAAAAAGATTACATAAAATAGATTCAACCAAACTGATGGAACCAGCCTTAACTTGATCCTTTGCAAGATCAATGCTAATGCCACAAGCTTTAGTTAGCTTGGTTGATAGTGACAGAACAGTTCTTTACTGAACAATGAGCATGGTTCATCTTTTCCGATTGAGTGCTGGATTCTGACCCTAGCGGTATGACGTTTTTCGTCAAATTTTACTTTTTCAAATTTGAATTCTCGAAAACCATTCGACATTTCACTTGGAACCTACTTTTGCCTCGTGTCGAAACCTCAAAATTTCGTGGGTTTTGATCGGTTTTCATGGGAAAACATAAACCCTGACAATGAGTGCAATGATGAACAACACAGGAGGGAGCAGGCATACATAGATTTGCCACAGTCCACAACCAAGAAGAGCACCAAAATCAGGAAAGGAACAAGTGCATTTCAGGAAACAGCTGCCAATGTGCAATCTGAAAAATTAGGTACTCCACACCTGAAATGGAGGAGGATCCAGTGGATGAGTACTTCTCCAATCTCCATCCTACACCCCCCCAGATGTTGCTACAAATGCAAAGGACTTTCTGGTGATGATATCACATCTCACACCATTTTCTCATTCAGTCTATGAACATGAATAATTGAATTGAATACCCCCATTGCACACTTCTGTACTGAAAAAGTTGCCAACTAACTCTGCCATATGTGCATGGTCAAACTGAACATGGTACTAGCAGTATAATTTCAACAGCTCGGTCAAAAATGGCGATCACTGCTACTGCCAAATCAGTTCAGAAAAAAGAGTAGTACATGACCATGAAGAAAAGCTGCTGCACATCACACAGTTGCATTTCATCACCTGAAGCGATTCAGGGCCAGGGGTTAGCTGATGATTTGCATGGTTTGCAATCTGCATGACTTAATCCTGTCCACTTAACAAAATCTCAAAATTAGATCCCTGAAACCATTTAGCAATCAGGCCAATGGACTTTTGTTGGCTTAGAACAAGCCATGCTTCCAAATGGACATACCAACCACCTCCAAGAAAAGTTTGTGGTCAAGGTCAACCCTTATCTTATGGTTGCTAGGTTTCCATTCAGACATTGTCAACATCAAGGCCACATCACCACTAGATGATCCACTAAGTTTATTTTTCTATGCACTTCTAGATAAACCAAGGAGCTGTGCACATAGCAAATCAACAGAAAAATCGTACCTTTTTGTTGCACATAAAGGCTAAGTAGCTAGCAATTAGCAAAAGTAAGGGTTGCTAAATGCTACAAAAACAATCAACACCTTCCCCTGAATGACATAGGAGAAACAACCAACATAAGCTGCTAATTTCCTAAGCTAGTTATTGATCACATCGAATCTTATGAAGCCCCACCACCGCTTTGTCACCGACTAATGAGACAAATCCGTGTCTAGACCTTTTCATACTTAATCAGATGTAGAAATTGCAAGTTTGTTGACGTTGCAGAAACTAGACCATCTAAAAAAAATTTTAGGGTGTCCTTGTCAGATAAAACAATAAGCAAAGTTGCATACTAGCCACTCACTTGTTTAGCAACTACAGTGACACAAGCAATCTCGTCAGTATCTCATTTCTTGGCTACAAACTGATTGCATACTGTTTCTCCATGCAAGAGCATCTGAAAATTTTATCCAGGACTGATACAGAAGAACATATAATTTAGAGGAGATATGTTACCTTGTCAAATTCTATTAGCCACTTCAACAAAAAACAGGAACTACAGTTAGATAATCTAGACTAATTTAAAGTCCATGATATCAAGGGAAATCCACGAGTATGATGTGAGATCTCCAATGGCAATTTAATATGGGAAGCAAATTGGATGACACTCCTTATTTAATTTTGACGTGGAAAACATAGATAGATGCACGAGGTTTAAGTGCACCACTTGAAAAAAAAAAAAGAAAACAAGCATTATGTGATATGTCAAACCTCACATAACAAAAATATCTGATGAAGTATAAATCAAGCAAACACGACCAGAAGAGTTTGTGAGCAAGTGAAAAATTGACAACTTTTGCGCTTTTCTAATAAATTCCACTTCTTATATCATATAGCATTACATCACAATCCAAAGGAGGATGATAAGCAGATACACACAATCGAACCCTCATATCAACAACACAAGATTGTAGTGAAAAATCATAGGAATTTCACAGGAGACACTTGAGAGCAAAAAAGAGATCACTTGATCATGAGATGTATCATATATCATACGACATTTCAGATTGGATGATTTTGGGATTCAGAATTCAATCCAGAACAGAACACCACAGAAGGTCTGGGTGAAATGATGAGAGGACCATGTTTTTCTAAGCATATGAACAAAAAAAAAAGGAACTAAATTCTACTTATTTTTTTTTCTTCTTCTTCTTCTTCCTTTCGACGCTGCTACCACATGAAAAGAGAAGGGAAATGAACCCAACCAAAAAGAAGAGAAGAGTAGACCCCAAAAAAAGGTTCACCTTTGCTGTTTCTACCTTTGTACACCGAGCCCAACACCGATTCGAAGAGGCGCCGAATCAAAATTCGCACAAATTTGATGTTTGGAGTTTGGATGAAATTCATCAAAGCTTCTCGAGCGTCCGAGCTAATTCCACCGCGTTCTTGGCAATCTTGCAGTTGTCGTCGTTGACGAGAGCCTCGCAGAGATGGAATGCTCCGAGCTTGATCGCCTCCCTCGCCAATTGGTTGCTCTCGCCGCAGATCAAGTTGAGGACGACGAGCGCCTGCTCGATGGCGCGCGCGTTGCCGCTGCCGGCGACGCCGACGAGCACGGCGACGACGCGGGGGATCCTGGACAGCTCGTGGCGCCCCTCGCGGGACTTGGCGAAGAGGCCGAGCACCTCGGCGGCGCGCGCGGAGCCCGCGGCGGCGAGGTCGACGAGCGCGGGCGCCGCCCCGGCGCGCACGGCGCGGCGCCTGTTCTCCGGCAGCTTGCAGAGCTCGTACAGCGCCGTGGCGGCCTCGCGCCGCTCCCGCGCGCCGCCGCCGCGGCGGAGGAGGCCGACCAGCGCCGGGACGGCCGAGGGGTGCGCCCCGATGGTGCACTTGTTGACGTCCACCGTGGCGAGGCTGGTGAGCGCCGTGGCGGCCACCGCCGCGGCCGCGCCACCGGACGACACCGCGGCGGAGAGCGCGTCCACGGCGCCGTCCGCCACCAACCCGACCCGCGCGTCGTCCCCGTCGAGGCTCAGGTGCAGCAGCGCCCTCGCCGCCACTTCATCCCCGCCCGCCGCGTGCCGCAGGAGCACCCCCACGTCGCCGGACTCCATCACCTGCCTCCTCCCTTCCGGCCCGGACCTCGCCAACCTAAGCAACCCATAAACCGACGAAATCGCCGCCGCAGCCGGCTCTCTCCTCTCCCCACCACCACCGCCCGCCGCCGCCGTTGGCACGGCGGCGGCGGCGACAGGAGAGACGGCGGCAATAAGGCGGCGGAGGGCGTGGTTGGGGATGAGGGGCGGCGAGGGGGGGAGCGGCAGGTTGGTGACGGGGCAGGTGAGGTGGCCGCCGTCGAGCCAGCGCTGGATGCTGCGGCGCTCGAAGGTGTGGCCGGAGGGGAGGATGACGGGGTCGGTCATGACCTCCAGCGAGATTGGGCAGCGGAAGTCGTCCGGCCAGGTCGAGCCCTGCTCCGGCGACACCTCCATGCGCGTTCTTGGCGTGCGAGCCGATCTGCGGCGAGGAATGGAAAGCGTGTGGGACTCGTGAGGAAGACGAAGAGGAGGAGAGTGGGGAAAGTCCACTTCTTCCGGTGGACAGGAAACGGGATTTGCTGTGGGGCGGTGAGAGAGGGTGGGGAGACCACCCGGTGGGCTTAAGTAACCCACTAATCTACCCTACCCCCACCCCACCCCACCCCATACGGCCATACCTAGAAGGCAGGTCGATTACCGACGTCGTGAGTCTACATGTGGTGTGTCCATCCACCTTAGGTTGGGAAGCATGCCGGCTGCTGGCATCGTGAGTCTATGTGTGGTGAGTCCACCTTAGGTTAGGAGGCATGACGGTTGCCGGCGTCGTGAGTTTACCTGTAGTAAGTCGGGATGAGGGAGGATGAAGCGTTAAGGTTGTGTTGGAAGCGGTGGGGGTAGTTTCAGAAGGGTTTGTTTCAATGTTGTAGTATCTGTCTGTGTTCTTGTTGCTGTCTTGTGTTTTACGAGGGAATGCGCGTGTCGATCTTGTGAAGGCTGGAGGATATATCATTTTTGGATTTAACTAATGCTTTTTGGTGGTGGTGTTTTTTTTTTGGGGTTCGTTTCGACGTCATGGTATCTATCTGTTGCAGTCTTGAGCTTTCATCGTGTGATGAATTAAAGGATAGCGATGTTGCTTATGTTTATCGTTGTTATGTCTATCCGCTGCAGTCTTTGCCTGAGTAACGTGTGGCTTATTTGGATTTAGCAGACGATCCTTGATAATGTTTGCTTTTGTCTATCTTATGATCCATACATGCTACGTATACGTAACGCTTCCTGCATGGTTTACTTAATTTGTTAGCATATTTTGGTATCTCTTTAGTTCACATTTTTCCGTTACACTTCCGCAATGAGTAATCTGCATGTAAGTTGGTTTTACGAGCAATCATTAATTGATAGTCATGCACGTCTCATACATCACGCTAGTTGGCGACTCTGCGGCTATGCTTTGCATTCTTGTAATAGTTAGCACCTTTAGTTTTTTTGTACTCTTATAGCTTTCAGTTATCGACTATGGTAGCGTGAACCAATAAACAATTAATAGGAAGTGCAAGGGCATTTTTGCCAAAAACAATCAACGTGGCATCTGCAATTACCCCGCCAACCTATGGCTCCTACTGGAAAGGTAAATATGTCAGTGTGGTTTAATCATTTCCTATTCTAACAAGAATAATAAAAATCTGCAATCAATAAGGGTTTTATTTGGTTTGTCACATGGATCATACAAATTGTTTCTATTATAAAATGTTTCTATTTGGTTTGTCACCGAAACCAAAAACATGTTATATTGCTCTCTCATTGGGTTATCATATGTTTTATATATATATAGTTAAGAGGCATAAAATGATCGGTTTCAAAATTATGAATTGATTTATATAAAAAAGATAGATATTTATCAATCCACAATGTGTGAGCTCCTTGGATCATTTAACCGGATTTTAAAGCTTTTCTTTCAATGTGTAGAATGTTTTGATGGTGGGAGACATGTGCACATATCCCTCGCTTTTAGCGCAACTCATGAGAAGCATATAATCCCTTTTTTTCATATAGTTTTTTTTAAAATCGTATCTAAGCATTTAATTTCTTTTGGTGTGTATGAGTTAATCTGCGTATCATTTTTATAATAGCTGGGAGATTTTATTTAATGAGAAGATATGGTTATACGAATGACTGTGCTAGTATTAATTGATAGCGATATATATGGACATGGCCCTCGTAATAATGTTTGGAGATACAGTACTATAATTATGCTTTATTACGTGATTAATATTCAGATGTTGTACTGGAAGCACCCTGGCCTACTGTTTTTCTACTGTCCCTTTATGATTAAGTCCTGGTACTTGTAATGCAACATACATGCATGTGTTTTCCATGGCAATATGAGCAAAACACTCCTATATATCATATTGTGGGGACAGATTAAGATAGAGACATGGTAACCAACGAGATTATGTGCAGGTGCAATTTTATTCAGAAGTCCAAACAGTCATGTGGATTATTACCTGATTAACAGTTACATATTAAAATGTTCTATTATGTAGTTATGTTGTAGGCAATACAACATTGCTCAGAAGAGAACATTGTGCCCTTTAATTTTTATTAGAATCCTTGGTCTCTAGCTAACAGGCCTGAGCAACTCTCTAGTTATATTAGTCAACTATTTTGTGTCTAGCATGAGAATGGTGTATTTCCACCCATATTTCATATTTTCCATATATCAATGTTTAAGTCAACTAGCTATATTATTGGGTGAACTTAGCTCACTGGTGAGAATGTTTTGTTGACCTCTGTACATCCGAAGTTTGCAGACCTTTACACATCCGTAGTTTGAAAACAACTCCATCCATTTGAGTGGCAGTTTTTTTTTGTCACAAAATTTAGTGGAAATTAATAAAGGGACTGCCTATACTTCTTGTAAAAAAATCATAAATTTAATGATAAAACAATCAGATTTCACACAGTAGAATTAAAAAGAGATCACTAAGGTTACAACCACATTGTACGAATATGACGATGTATTTGTAACAATTCCGACTAATAAAATAGGGTCCACGAGTGTCTACCAAGATAGGTGGCATTGGACCAAAACGAACTATGTAATTAAGAAGCCAACGAGCAAATTAAGCCATGATCACGACACTTAAAGATATGGATACATGCAAAATCATAGTACTTATAAATTACCTTGAAAAGAGATATCATAATATCTTGCTTTTATTATGTGCTATAAATCTGAAATTATACTGATATAGAAAAAAATAAAGAAAGAAATCTTTCACATTAAAACTTAACATTTGAGTACATACACACATTTTTGCCCTCTCTCTCACTCCCCACCATCACATTCATTCACCAACCACCAGGGTCAGTGATTTTTTTTTCGGTTAGTGACTTAGAGCCTCATCGGTTATCTATATTTCTTAATAAACCAAAAAGACTAATTAAAGAATAAAAGTTAATTTATAAATAAAACTTTTATATATCTTTAAAAAAATTATGTTGAAAATATCTTAAAATTAACTTCAAAATCAAGTTTAAAAATTCAAAATTTAATTTTTTTTATTTATTAGACCAATCGATGGGGCTCTTAATTTGAAACAATTTTACAAGTGAAAAGGAAAATGCAAAAAAAAAAAAACCTAACCCAAACGGTAGAACTCGAGATAAAACGGTGACGAAACCGAATTGTGCGGTGCAGTCACCTCCCCCACCATCACAAAACGGGGAGCGGAGAAAGGTCACAGGAATCCCGGGGGACGCATCTGGGCCGTACACGTGGCACGCGGGCCCCCGTGTGAACGCCTGGAAATTTATCCACGGGCCTTATCCCCTCCCACGCCACTGACGTGTCGGCCCGCCTCCTCCCGGCCCCACTAAAGTAACTTATCCCTACCGGTCGAACGTTTGAACCGGGCAGGTAAGGTTTTTTTTTTCTTTTCTTTTAACCCTTTTTGGGGTGTTTTTACTGCGCGGTAAAAGTAGGAAGTGGAAAGCGAGGAGACGCGCCCAACGGCTAGAAGTGGTCGCTGGCGTGTACTTTGACTGCGTGGTGGGGCCCTGCGGATTCAGTCAGTCAGTCAGTGACAGTGAGTCAGCTGAATCAGTCAATTTCTATAGTACTATATGTGTAGAATCTCTCTTTGGACCCCTGGAACTTTTTACAAATTGCTTCCTCCTGGGTGTGGACTGTGAGTTTGGAACTGTACATCATATGAACAACTCTGTCCAGATTAAAATCCCTTATATTTTAGAACAGATAGATAGAGTATGAGTCAACTATAAACTCATGTGGAAGAGAGATGAAAAACCGAGGAGTATTGGCTCTCATGCAATAGTTATACACATGCTCCAATATATTTACATTATAAATTCATGATGAGAGAAAGAGAGAGGAGAGAAAAAAATAAAACCAATTTTATAGTTAACTTATTATACATGTTAACTTTAATATATGAGCTAATAACCAATTGTTTGCTATACTATTAAATCTGCTCTTACGGTGGTTCTATGTCGTACTAAACCATATTTTGGGAATTGAAAATGGTCCCCCAAAATCACTATTTGCTAGTATCATTTGTAAAATCCTACAAAGGAGAAAAAAACATTTAGTGTGTGATTAATATTTGGAAAAAAGATGTCTACGGTTTTAATGTTTGACTTGTATATTAGTTAAAACAGCTCAACATGTTGTTTGTCCGAATTTTGAATTTTAGAAACTATATAATGGTTTTTTATATTTCAGTCTAGATTATTGAACATCTAAAAAATCAAGGGTATAAAAGTATAAAAATCTTGTCTGAACATTTCCGGTCATAGAATATGTAGCCCTAGCCACCCCAATCTCTATATCTTCTCTATTATTATAAAAATCAAAGATATTTCCGCTGAAATTTTGGTACGTCATCCGTGTTTGAGTTGGTTTTTAGTTTCGTACGTCATTTGTGTTTGCGTTGATTTTTAGTTGGTTCACTACAAGAAATAAATATGACCTTCTGTGACGAATTCCTCGTGACGTCGGAGCTATTCGTCACTAGCACATTCCATTTTATGACGATTAATTAGTATGAGATGTGGTCGCTTAGTGACGAAAAAAGGATGTTCGTCGTTAATACTACCTAGAAATCGTCATAAAGTATTTCACTGGGACATCGTGACGAATATTAATTTGTCATAAGGGGCACAAAGCAAACGTCATAAATTTATATAATGCATTTATGGAAAAATATATTAAAAGCTAAAGCAATTTAATCAAGTGAATTAATGAGGAAACTAAATTTTTCCTTCAAAAATCATGGCCGGAAATATTTTTTTAATATTCTACGTGGTCTAAATAATTCTCTGAAATTTTCTGTGAATTTCGGTGCTTAATAACTATTTTTAATTCCACAAAGTTTATTTAACCAATTAAAATAAATGGAAAACAAATTAAAATTCTTCTCTCTGTCCTTGGGCTTTTTTCGGCCCAAGTATTACTCTCTCCCTCCCTTAGCCCGCAGCCTCTCTCTCTCGTCCTCCCTCTTCGGGCTGCCGGCCCAGCCCTTTTGTTCCTCCTTCACCAGGAAGTCTAATTTTCCTCCCTCTTCTTAATTCAAATAATTTTTCGGATAGTAAATGATTTCAAATGAAAAAAAAATACCAATAACAAAGTTGTATATTTTACCAACAACAAAGTTACGTCGCTCGTATCCAATTCGACATGAGTTTAAAATAACTATTATACGCCTTCCTCCTAGCGCAACCTAACCCAATCGGCCACACCATCCTGTGCGCTTCCACTCGAAGCTGCACGTACCCCTCCCCACGTTTTTTTTGCTCTTTTTTCCCTTTTCTCCTTTCCTTTTGTCCTGGTCTTTCTGACCCTCTCCTCTCCTTCCAATTTCCTTTATTTTTGCATCCTTTTCTGTTTCGCTATTGGTATCTCTACTATTATAAAAATTGAAGATGTTTCCCCTGATATTTTGGTACGTTGTCCGTATTTGAGGTAGTTTTAAAGTTCATTCGCTTTTTGGAAATACAAAAGGAGTCGTATAAGAAATCCTTTTAAAAATCCTGCGTGCTAAGTTAGGACGAGAGTCGGACTCCTAATTGCTTCAGAATTCTCGCCAGGCCATAATAAAGCAATGTATATGATGTGACCGTCATCTCAATAAAGATTCCGAATTAGATATCAATACTATCAAAATAAAAATCCCATATACTTTTTACTTTTTAGAAAAAAAATCTAACAATAATACGGTTAAAATAGTCTTCACCCGTTACAACGCACGGGTATTTTTTTAGTATAAATAAATAGATAAAACACCCTAATTGGAGGCCCAAACATTTTAATTTAAAGCCCACGTCGATGTAAAGATAGACCCAGGTAAGCTCACAGTGGGCCATAAAGGCCCAAAATGGCCAGCCTACGAGGACGCCACAATAAGGAAAAAGTACACCGAAGATCCCTCAACTTGTCATCGAGTTACAAAATCGTCCCCTAACCACAAAGCCGAATACAACGTATCCCCCAATTTACAAAACCAGTGTAGATTAGGTCCCTCGGTGGTTTTGCACTAGGTTTTGTCCAATGTGGCGGCTGAGTCAGCGTGGGACCCACATGTCAGGATGCCACTTCAGCAGGCTGGCCTCTCCCTCCCTCTCCTTTCCTCTCTTCTCTCTCTTTCTCTCTCTCACTCCTCTCTGGACTTGGCAGGACGGTCGACGGTGGGGAGGAGCCGAGGAGGTCGCCGGCGATGCGGCGGCGGAGACACGGGAGAATGGGAGGACGGCGGCAAGGCGAGGCGGCGTCGGCGGGCGAGCGCGGTGGCGGAGAGTAGGCGGTGGCGGCTGCGACGCGGGAAGCCGAAGGCGACGGCGTGGGCGAGCATGGAGGCAAAGTGAAGAAAGCTCACCTCCTCTTGGATCTAGGCACGCCGCCTGGCACCTGCCTCGCGGCCGCCAGCTTCGCCTTCGCCGGAGAGGCCGTCGTCGGGGCTAGCAGATTCTCCTACACCACCACCACCACCGGTTTCTGCTGCTCTGGCTGCGGCTGCGTCGGCGGCGGCGTAGGCGTCGGTAGAGACGACGACGACGAAGAAGAAGGAAAGGCAGCGCAGAACGCCTTGAGAAGCTCGTCGGCGTAGGAGAATCTGCCAGCCCCGCGTCTCTGGACTGGGCAGGGCTCTACGAGTTCAGGTCCAGCAGCTCGATGTATAGCTACAATGAGAATTGTACTGGAGTATGAGATAGTCAATCCGTGATGAGATAAATGATAGCTCACTAGTAGCTGCATTCAATCACCTCCATCAACACCTCCACCTCCTAGCATTCGTTCATTAGCAGCATTAACCTGAGAAATATGAATAACTGTCATCTTCTTCATCGTCATATCCAGATAGTTAAGAGTTAGAGATTATTGCTTTAACAATTTTGCAAATATTTCTAGAAAGATTGCCAAATCCACACGAGCAGCATCAGATTCGAAACGCACCATAGCCACGAACACAAGCATCGGCAAGGATCGAGGAAGGGAACGAATTAACAAGGAAGGAAGGACGTACGATGGCGACAGTGGCGCCGTCGACGGACCAGAGGGTGATGTCGCCCTTGTGCAGCTTGAGTGCGCCCGCGCCCGCATCCGCCGACAGCCGGAACGCCTCGCCGCTGCTGAGCCCAGGTGCCACCGCCATGGCGAACGATGCCCTCGTCGCGCCGCTGCTCGGTGGCCGCCGCCGCCGCTGCTTGGGGAGGAGTGGGAGCCGCGACGGCGTCGTTGCCGCCACCGCCTCTCCGCCACCGCGCTCGCCTGCCGACGCCGCCTCGCCCTGCTGCTGCCCTCCCATTCTCCCGTGTCTCCGCCGCCGCATCGCCGGCCGACCGTCGGACCTCCTCACCCGGCGACCTCCTCCCCACTGTCGGCCTCCCTGCCCAGTCCAGAGAGGAGTGAGAGAGAGAGAGGAGGAAAGGATAGGAAGGGTGAGGCTAGCCTACTGACGTGGCATCCTGACATGTGGGGTTCATGTGGGTCTCACGCTGAATCAGCCACCACGTTGGACAAAACCGAGTGCAAAACCACGAGGGATCTAATCTACGCTGGTTTTGTAAGTTAGGGGATGCGTTGTATCCGGTTTTACGTTTAGGGGACGATTCTGTAACTCGAAAACAAGTTGAGGGACCTTAGGTGTACTTTTTCCCCACAATAAGTCTCAATCCCGTTCTTGGGCCTCACATAAGCGAAATTCCGTTCCGGCCGAAAATTGTTCAGGCCGCACGTAACTTACAAGGAATAAGTTCATCCGAGGTCCCTTAACTTGTCAACGAATCCAATTTTTATTCAACCGGAAAACCAGATACAACGGGTCCCTTAACTATCAAAACCAGTGCAGATGAGGTCACTTGGCAGTTTTGATGGCGGTTTTGACTGACGTGGCACCTACGTGGCTAATGAGGCAGAGCAGGAGGTTGTCGGCGAGCGCGACAGCTCCACTCCGTCGGCCGCTCCGCCCCGCCCCTCCGCCGCGATGCTCTCTCTCGAGCGACGCGAGCACAACAGCGACGGCCGACGGAGGATGGCGGCGGAGGGAGATCATCTATCAACTCCGGCGGAGGGAGCTCCTCGCCTGGCCGCCGCGCCGCAACCGAAGCGCCACCACTCTACTGAGGAGGCAGCAGCCATGGCGCATTGGCGCCAGTGCCACGAAGCAGACGCTGCACGCCGCGTTGTCGTGGTCGACTTCGTCGTAGTGGCGGAATATTTGTGTCTTGGCGCTGCGTTCGGGCGTCACGCCGGCAATGGTTGTGCTGCTGCTGCTGGCTCGCTTGAGGGACGAGACGAGCTACCTCAACAAGCCGCCAGGATGGAGCCTGAGGAGGAGGTTCCCCGGTGCGTTCACGGGTTCGGGGGCGACTGCATCCAACGCACCAACAAAACACCACACGAATGAACAAACCCAGTCACCACCAAGCAACCTAACACATAAATACATAATCAAGAGAGTAGAGAGAGCACGTATGGTGAATTGGTGACTCCGGATCTCTCTTCCATCGCCGGCAGGCACGCCTGCGTGTATGCACCAACAAAAACTAATCCATAGAACGGATTATGCACCATTCCTCAATAGCGCAACAAAAACTAATCCGTCTTCCGCCTTGCGCTCCCCCACGCCACGGCCACCGTCGTGTCGTCGTCACGCGGCGGTGGCGGAGGCGCGAGCAGGAGGAGGGAGTACGCGTGCTCACCCACCACGCACCCGGGCTTCTTCCGGTGCGCGCTGCAATGGAGCGGCGCGTCGCCGTCGCGTCCCTCCTCGGCCGGCGGAGAGGACAGATGAGAGGGGAGAGAGATGAACACACGGAGTTGGGGGGAGAGAGGAGGAAGATGATGAGGGTGAGAATGACATGTGGGGCCTACGTGGGTCTCAACATTTTTAATTTATTTTTTTGTGCAAACTAGCATGTGGCCCACAATTTTTAATATTTTTCAAATCAAATTGCCACGTAAGCGCCACGTCATTGCCATGTCATGTGAAGACCGAGTCAAATAGCCACGTAGGCGCCACGTCAGTGAAAACCGCCATCCAAACCGCTATGGGACCTATATTGTATCTGTTTTTGGACCCGTTATATCTGATTTTCTGGTTGAAGGATGAAAATCGGATTCGTTGACAAGTTAAGGGACCTCAAATGAACTTATTCCAACTTACAATATCATGGGCCTCACCTAACAAAGATGGGCCATGATCCGGCCCAAGTAAAATGGGCCGCACGCAAGTCGAATCGCTTTCCGGCCCATGAAACGGGAGAGCCGAGAGCCCGAGATGTATAGCTGGTCACCTCTGCTTCGGTGCTTCGTGCATGTTTGGTGAGATCTTTTTTCTGGATTTCTGTGTCTTTTTGAACCAGTGGCGTGCAGTTCCATGAACACCTAGTGGAATTTGATCTCTGAATCGATGTCTTACATGCAGAGATGGAAAGGAAGCTTGTTGTGAGTGAGCAAGATCAGAATCAGAAGCAGACCCCACGAAATCTGCACTTCCATCAACAACTGCCTGATAGCTGAAAAGGAAGTGTTCTCTCTGTACTTTTTTTTTTAAAAAAAAAATCTTACCTGCATTTTGGGCAATGTCAACTTTACACTGGAGTTTATATGATACTGTTATTATCTGAAAAGAAACATAGTGAGGTATAATTGACTGTTTACATTCTATTTTTTTACCGAACAACACATCAGAGTATCAGACCACACATTGCTTAAGCATCAGTTCTTTGCTCGCTACCTGCCTCCAGCTTCCTCTCACCACTGCATCTTTGACTCCATCCACAAGTAAAGCAAAGAATCTGAGTTTATATGTACATCCTCAGTTACAAATTGTTTGTTTCTTTGTGACCAAAATTGAAGCTGCAGCCTGCATGGTCTCAGTCTAAGAGAGCAAAATAAGGGTGTTAGGAAAGTCTACTGGTGACAACCTACTCATGGATCGATACAGGTAATTTAACAAGGTCAAGCTGTTAGATTTTGAGTAATTATTTTCTTCATTCTTTTTGTATCAACACTGGAAGTTTGGAACCAACATATGCGAATGTGCTACTACTTTATATGTACAATTTCTGTTTTGTACCATTATACGCAACATACACTGAGTATACTTAACTAGTTATCCAGCCACATCTCAAGAAAGAAAAAAAAAGAATCATTAGTATTTTCTGAAGTCTATAGCTGTAGTGTTTATCAGTTTGACAGCTATGGAATGAATGGGAGATACAAGTGTTGGTGCTGGTGAGCTTTTCCCTGCAAGTGTTCCTCCTCTTGCTCTCGGGCATCAGGAAGCGTACAACCTCCAATGTCTTGAGCATATTCATATGGCTCGCATATGTGTCGGCTGACTCCCTCGCCATCTTCGTCCTTGGCCATCTTGCGCTCCACATCAATGGCCGGCGCCATGGTCTGGTGCTCTTCTGGGCGCCGTTTATGCTTCTTCACCTTGGTGGCCAGGAGACAATCACAGCCTTCTCCATGGAGGACAACATGCTGTGGAAGCGTCACCTTCTGACCCTCGCCACCCAGGTGGGTTTGGCCGCCTATGTGGTTGGCAAGCAGTGGCAGGGAGACAAGCAGCTGCTGGCTCCCATGGTGCTCATATTCATCTCAGGTACCATCAAGTATGCTTGCAGAACATCGGCACTCATGTTTACTGCTGAACAAACAACACCTGGGAGTAATCTTGGCATGCAGGCAAAGGGTTGGTCAGCTAATTGGAAACATTATTCGACTAATAATTGGATGATGAATGAGGTGCACACTTACAACGAACTTTTGTGGGAAGCCAACGCAGGCTGGACCTTATACATGGCCTTCCTGATGGATATGACACCGCTGATATCTAGGCCTGAAACCTATTCACTGAAAGGGCTCCTGTCGAAGGAACACCGAGTCTATGTCTCTTATAAGCTAGCTGAGCTCCAGCTCTCGATTGTGTATGACTACTTCTACACCAAGCTTGGAGTGTATTTTGAGCCCGAGGAACGACTAAATGGTCGCTTCGCCCAGCTTGCTACATTGGGCTCCACCTTTGCAGCCTTGTTTCTATTTGCCAGGGGTAATTTCAGCTACGATAGAGCCGATATTGTTGTGTCTTACATATTGCTAAGTGGAGCTTTCATTCTAGAGATACTCTCTGTTTTTATTGTTGTCTCATCATTCTGGGCATACTTCATGGCAACTGTATCTGATTTCCTTTGTACTAGATGTCATGATGTGATCTTCAGCATCGTCAAGCTTGTCCATCCAGAGAGCAAACCACAATGGTCCCAAAAGTTGGCACAGTACAACCTCATCATCGGATGTATAAAGCAGAAGAGAGCAGCAGCTGGCAGTTGTTTACTGAAATGCATGAAGCGTGTGATCGGCATCCAGCCCAGCACTATGACTCATGTCGACATCTCTCATGAGCTGAAGAAGCTCGTCCTTGATAAGCTACTACAGGTTGGAAGCAGATTGCATCCAGATGATGTGTGGGGACATCAGCAAATTCACCGGCCAATGGGCAAAGTTGGAGCTCATGAGGAGCAAACTGCACATTGAAAGTTCATCAAGAGCTCGGCTGCAGGTGCTGATCAGCGATAGCATTCAGCGTGCCGGTTTCATGTCTGCTGTCCTTGCTTGGCATATTGCGACGGACATATCCTTCTTCCATGAAGATGAGCTAGGCTGCAGCTCTCCATCCAGAGGTCCAAGCAGAGAACTATCTAAATATGTCATGTACCTTTCTGCAAAGCATGGCATCCTATCTGGCAATGATGGGCACATGCGGCTTAGAAATGCTCAGGAATTCATCGTTGAATGTCTGGAAGACCGCCAGGAAGCTCTAGATCAAGATGCTGTTGTCAGAAGTGTAGCTGCAAAGATAGATAATCTAACTGAGGATTTCGAGCACCCAAGAATACTGACGGCAGTTGAGCCTGTGTTAATCCAAAGTGGCCAACTTGCCAAGGAGCTGCTTAAGATGAAAGAAGCAAATGATCGATGGGATATCATCATGAATGTTTGGATGGAGATGCTTTGCTACATGGCATTTCACTGCGGACCTGGTTTCCACATTAAGCAGGTAAGCAAGGGTGGAGAGTTCATCAGCCATGCATGTGAAGGTTGTGATATATAATCTAGGCTTTCCATATTCAACATATTCACCTGAAACCGAAGAACCCGCTGCAGGCCATTCTTGACAAGCTTCTCAATCGATGTTTGGCTGGGGCATATATTCCTTTCAGAAGCCAATATCAGTGCTACCGTTCTACTATTATGTTTGATCTCTCTCTCTCAATGTATATATGCTGAACAATATAATTCAGAGTGGGATGTGAAACTCTGAAGATATCTGCAGCAGGACGGAGAGCAAGGGTAGAATGGAGTGAACTGAAACAGGAGTTTGGTGGGGTTCAGACTTCAGAGGGGCACAACAAGATCTGTTTGACTGTTTTTTGCAAAGAGAACACTTCAAAACCATCAAAGATCAGTACTAGCCAGCAGTATCCTACACTACATATACTACCTCTGCTCCATAGGACCATAATAATAAGTTCATTTTTGGCTCAAAAAAAATCATTTTTAAAGTAACCTTTGTATTGTAGTTTGTGAAAGTAGAGAATAATTGTATTGGAAGTAGATAAAGTAAGAAATAATTACATGGGGATTTGATAAAGTAGAGATATTTTAATCTTTTAGGTTTTGTATCAGTATGTGTGGGATGGGTGAAAGATGAACTTATTTTGGAATGGAGGTAGTAATATACATGAGCTCATATTTGAAGATTTGACATTCGTTAATTTCAACCAACATGTAAGCTAAGTAGTAAGTACGTCTAGATTGCTGTGATCAGTGTAGATTCTCGGTTCATCTCACGTCTTGTTTGTGAGGAGTAACATATTCCTTTTTCCCCGAAAAATAAAATGTAGATTCTCGGTTGGGTTTGTCCATCGTTGCCCATGAGCACGATTGTCGAAACCATTAAACGGTGTTGATTTTTCATGAAAAAAATTTATATATAGAAGTTCTCCTACAAAACCAAATAAGTCCAAACGGAACTGGAAGTAACACAAAAGTAATACCACTGTATTCATATTTCAATGGAAAAAAAACATATTTTACAAGGCAAAAATATTCCCAAAGTTCAACATATACATATATAGAAGACCTAATAATTGAAATACAGTCACGCTTCATTAGAAGAAAACTAATTAAACAGAGAGGATGTAGATGGAGTGTATTGTATCCTTGAGCGAACTTGGATGAGTGTATGCATCTTGGTCGTCCTTGTAGACGAAATCCAGCACGCGTGTGGCGTTGACGACGGCCTCCAGCAGCGGCGGCGGCTGAGCCGCCGCCGGCCGGAGACACTCCCCGGCGATGTCCATCCATGACTCCTCCACGAGCTCCCTCAGCTTCGCGTAGGCTTCCTCCTTCGTGATGCCGCCGTGCTCCCTCATGCAGGCTTCCACCGTCGACGACGACGACGACGAAGACCCTTGCTCTCTCTTCAATAATAAGGAAATTAATTGGCCGATCCAAGTTAGCGAACAGATTAATTAAGAGAAATATTTAGCAACTAGTTAACTACTCCATTCGTCCTAAAATATAACAACTTAGAATCGGATGTGACATTTTCTATTTTTCAGATTCATATTACTAGAAAATGTCACATCCGAACATAAGTTCTTATATTTTGGGGACAAAATAAGTAATTAATTAGCAGATACTATATAGAGCTTGTTTTTTTTTATTGATTCAATCATGTCTCTTCGGCTTATAAGATGTAAAAAAGTTTCAAAAAAGAGAAATTTACGATCTTTAAGAAAGTACCTCGAGGTACCTAAATTTACATCAAAATTTCCGATACCTTAAATATTACTCCTTTCGTCCTAAAATATAACAACTTTTAGCTCTCAAGATTTGTCCCAAAATATAACAACTTCTCCATCAACATTCTCTTCCCAACCAATCACAACTCTCCACCATTCACTTTTCCCACCTACCTTCACTATTTAATCAATTACAACCCTCCACCATTCACTTCTACTTGCTTTCTTAATAACCGTGTCTAACTCTAAAAATGCTTATATTTTGGAACGGAGGGAGTAAGTATCTAGAGGTACCAATACATAAAAAATATGATACCTCCTGGTAAGATGGTAAAATTACCCAAAAAAAACACTCAAACATACCTCATGTGAAGCTATGTCATTGAGTAATCGGCCAACGATGCAGGAAGATGTGATGATCTTGGGGTAGGCCATGCCCCAGTTGATAGCATCATCGGTTGTGACATCGTTTCCCATGGCGACGAAGGCGTAGACAGGGACGTGCATGCAGCAGCTGCTTGGCACTGAAATCTTGAGGTGCTCCTCCACCGTAGCAGCTACCTGATCTGCACCTTCAGAGCGCCATTTCACCTCGTTGTAAAAGCATCTCGTAGCGTCGATTAACTGCAAGATTAACCAAGCAGTTAAAGTTGTGATCAATGAGATCAGCTGCCTGCCTGCCTGCAGGTAGTTGATGAGACTAGCTACTTACTAGGTTTTTGACATAGTCGACATGCTTGTTCCCTTGGAGTTTAAGATCAGTTTCTATGGATTTCATGGTGGTCAGTACTTTCTTGTAGAAGAACTTCATGTAGCCTGGAAGTTCTTCAGCGGCTTCCTCATCCCATCTATTATATTTTTATGGTTCAATCATTGATAAAAATTAAATTCAAGTTAAAGACAAGAATTTTGGCTCCATGCAGCTTCTTTGAAACAAATTAAGTTCGGAATGAATTTCATTATTAAAAGAAGAAACTTAATCAATTGACCTTTCAATTGCTTCTGTGAACAGCTTGCTTTCTTCCAAGGTGCTGTAGTTGTCGTAGATGTCATCGAAAATCGAGACAAAGATGAACAATTTAGTGAGCATGGTTCTCCCATATGAGTACTGAGGCTCGAAGAGAACTCCAAGCATCCAAAAGTGCATCTCCACCATCCTATCTCGCGCAAAGCTTAGATGATCCTGGAGTTGGAGCTCTTTCCACCACCTTCACCACACCGAAATAATAAATAAAAATTCACATTCTAGGTCCAGTTCTTGTATGTACATGCATTAAATTGGACATCTATATAGATATATAGGTGAATTTTGGTAACTCCCAATACCTTGGCAAGGACAGTAAAATTGAGCCTATGCATGTTTTGAATTTTAGGGTTGGTTCAGGTATTATAGCTAGCACGAAAAGATAATAAGGTATTCTCTTGTGGTGTAGATGAAGATGAAGATTAAGTGTTTTACGTAAAATAAGATGGTATTAATGTATAATTAATTGAGTTTTAATTATTATAAATTTTAAAAATAGATTTATCTGATATTTTAGAACAACTTCCATATAGAAAGTTTTCGCACGAAACATATTGTTTAGTAGTTTGAAAAGCATGTCACCAAGATGATAATTTTCATCCAATTCCTATAGCAGAAACGATAATTGGACCTAATCTAGTGATTTTTAGAACATACATGGTGAGGATATTGAGCTCCTCGCAATACAGAGATTGCAAAATCCCAAAGTCGAGCTTGGCGAACTCCAAAATGGTCTCATTTCGTGTGGGCAACTTGTCGTAAACTGAGATGTAGTGCCTTGCTTCAACTCTTCTTGGCCTCCTGAAAAGAGGGGTCCTAAGTGCACTGCACACCTCGTCCGCCATTGGCGACTGCAGATGTTTTACCACAGACTGCAAATAGTTCCTAGTGAAGACGATAGCATCGTCGAGTATCTCCTCCCCATGAATCCTGAGATGGGCAGCATTGTACAAGCTCAGCATGCTTCTTGTGCCGTTATTGTTATCATCGCGTGTGAAATTTCCTTCCTCGTCCCTGAACCTCTGGAACACATCTACAACGAACATATTTCATTGCATATATTCAATTACCTCCGTTTCAAATTATAAGTTATTGTGTACTTTGGTCAAAATCAAACTGTTCCAAATGTAATTGAGTTTGTAGGAAAAAGTAGTAACATTTTTAACCCAAGACAGATATAATATGAAAATGTATTCAATTTTAGATCTAATGAAACTAATTTGGTATTATAAATAGATATTACTATATTTGACTACAAACTTGGTCAAATAAAGAGCAATTTAAGTTTGACCAAACTCAAAACGACTTATAATCTTAGTTAACTAAGGGAGAGTATTAGTTCATGCTAAAAATATGGTATATCATCGTCAATTACACACACACACCCACCTGGAGAGGCATAGTATCCATGCTTCCTGAGCAGATAGAACCGGAGAGCTGTAGTGTGGAGGTCATAGTGATTGTCGGTATCGTCTTCTTCCTCATGAACCCGGCGCAACACATTTTCAATCTCCTTCTCGTAGTGGTAGTCAATGCAAAGACGTTCTAAGGTGTCGACGAGCTCAAGTTTTACGTGCAAATTGGGGCCAGAAGAACACTCAAGTATCATCCTTCTCACTTGTTCCTCGGAAACATGAGCTTTTCTCTTCATATTCAGAAGCTACATATACATATACATGCGAGGACGATTATGCTACGAAGTAATTAATTATTTGTTAGGCATATTTATATGTACTATACGTACTATATATCTCTAAATGAAGAATAATAGATAGATAGGAAAATTGCATATGGGTAGTAGTAAATTATATATAATTTACTGATTTAATTGTGCTGTTTTACCATTGATGGAGTGCAGGGTGAGAAGGTAAGAAAGTAATCGCCCCAGACATTAGGATGGTGATCAAAGTGGGGTTTACAGTGCAGCAGATCTCCTCCTTCTACTGGTGAGACTAGCATATCGGTGCAGGTAGGCACAGGTAGTAGTAGTACACTCGGAACAGAGGTTGCCATACTTCAACTCCCTCTTGCTCTGCAAGCTCTAGGATGAGTTGTTGCTGAGCTACAAACTAACTTGGTCTTTCCCTAACTTACTTGGCTGCTATATATAGAGATAGGAATCTTATAAACCGACGTGGCACCACAAATAAAGCTCCGTTCGGCTAGAGAAGCGTGCCACATATTCGTACAAAATTACATATCTACCATGGATTCGCTAAAATGCCATTACTCAATCTACGCTAGAATGTTATCCTCGACCAATTTACCTCTGACCTTCTTCTTTCTCCCTCCCACCCCTCATTTTCCATCATCGTTTAGTTCCCACACAAAAATTTTACACCATATTACATTGAACGTTTGAATACCTGTATGAAGTATTGAATATAAGCTTAAAAAATAATTAATTGCACAAATTGCGACTAATTTATGAGATAATTTGACAATATAGTGCTACGGTAAATATTTGCTAATGACGGATTAATTAGGCTTAATAAATTCATCTCACTGTTTATTGAGGGATTATGTAATTAGATACCGACGTGACACGCTAAAACTTTACATCCCTATACCTAACCACCCCCTTAATCCCTTAATCTTCATGTTTAGAAGATTCGAACGGGGGATCCAGTCTTCAACTTGGCACGCACACGTCTCAATCTGCCTCTCCATTAATAGCCAAACAAGCTGTGTGGCTTTTCTCTTGCAACTTGCAGCTGTGCTGATGTTGCTGCATTCTGGTGAACTAGGCTAAAAGGCATTTTGTGGTCAGGCCCTGTTTAGTTTTACGGTGAAAAGTTTTGGCGTGTCACATCGGATATACGGACACACATTTAAATATTAAATATAGTCTAATAACAAAATAAATTACATATTCCGTCTGTAAATTGCGAGACGAATTTATTAAGCCTAATTAATACTTTTATCAAATCATGGCGCAATTAGGCTTAAAAGATTCGTCTTACAATTTACACGCAATCTGTGTAATTAGTTTTTTTATTTATATTTAATACTAAATACATGTGTCCAAATATTCGATGTGACATGATGAAAAGTTTTTGCGTGAAAACTAAACAGGACCTCATCCACATTGCCATGGATACATATCATTCATGCCATGGCTAGCTACCTCTTGATAATAGTAGAATTGTCACGCCCCGAACTAGTCCCGACCGGAACTAGCCCGTGACGCTCCAATTTAACCTGTTAATCGATACCAGTCCCAGGAAATAGTGCTGGTATGACAGGGAGACAGAATATCACAGCAACAGAGGTCTCTTTATTATAGAGTAGAGGTACAGTCATGTTGGGCTGCGGACAGATCCCGAGCTCACAACTGCATTACAGAAGGGAAACGGAAGCCAGGACTTGGACCAAACAACACAGGCGCGACTTGGGAACTAGGCCGAAACCCTAAAACTCATCATAGCCGGCTTGCTCCTGGAAGAACTCCTCATCAGCAGGATCCGCTTCATCTTCTTCAGCAACTGGGGGGGGGGGATATTTATATAGAGCAAGGGTGAGTACGGGAGTACTCAGCAAGCCAGGGAAATAAGTGTTTAATGTAGGCTTCAAGGAAAGGCTGTTGTTTTCGTAATTGATTTTATTTGAACTCTTTTCTAAAAACAACTAAGTGAGTGCTTCTCAAACGACACGGATGAGACAGTGCGTCTCGTCCGGTCGGAGTATGTGCAATGTATCAGTCTTTAGAATTGAAACAAGATTGGCACCCGGCCAACAGCTTTTCAAACGGCCACCCGGGCCAACAACTTTACAATCGGCCACCCGGGCCTAGCTGATCCCGTCAGCTGCTGATTTTTCAAACATCGAACCCCTTTTCACAACAGCAATTTCACAAGCAGTAGTCAAACAAAACTACGCTAGGAATCACCTCACATCCGCCCATGACCGTGGGCACGGCTGCTCGAACAGTTTGTTAACCTCTGCAGAGGGGGTACACTTTACCCACACAACATTACTAACCCGGATCACCCAGCCCGTGGGGATCAGCCACGTCGGGAGACCTCCAAGCTTTCATGACAAGGCATTTCCAAAGCCAACACAGGTTTACCATATGCCGACGAGAGGGGTCCCAGACCAACAACAGGTTAGGTCCCAGACCATACTGTGCCAGGAAGCCCAGGGGTCCTCCCCGACACCACCCCGGCGAATCCACATGTCTCTCGGCATCAAGGCCCCCCTGATAAGCTAGTTACTCAGCCAGGGGTGTCCCATTCCACCCATGTGGTCATACTTGTCTTATGTTCGGATGAAATTCCAAGGAAACGGTCCTTAAGTGCGAGAGCGGGAAAACCGTACACCCGGTACGTTCCCCGGTCCGCGGTTTTGGAAATTCATTTAGTTCGCAAGCACTGACCCAGGTGTCGGGTTTTCCAAGTCTTTTGTAAAACCCAAGTTTTACCCAAGTTGTTACTCAGATTTTAAGTTTGAAGGCGACCGTCGGTACTCGCACAGAGTGCACGATTCCCGAGGCGCAACTGGGTGGTTACAAGGGAACATGGTATAACAATTAACAAAGGAAGGATCATATGCAACAAACTAGGTAGGTCCGCCAATTTGCCTTGCAGACGGGACAAACAGATTAAGTGCGATCCTATCAATGCATAATATTTTTCAAGCAACTTAATTAAATTTCAAATATAGGCTCAAGATGTTCAAAGGTGGCTTGCCTTGCTCGAGATCTGGAGCTTGATCCTCGAAATCCTCGCGCTGCGGGTCTTCGGGCTCCGAAACTACACGCGAAACGGGACAACTCAACAAACGGCGAAAAAATAAAGCCCTATTAATGTCCTCTAAGCATGCCATTAGATAGATCTCGAGATTTGAGGAATTTTGGAAGTTGAACGGAGTCAAACGGATTTACGGTTGGGAAGATATTGAATTTCTAAGATTATTGGATTTTTGGTCTAAAGGAAAAGGATTTAATTAAATCCTTTTGGAAAAGAAAAGAATTGAAAAGAAAAGAGGGAGGGATTATAGACTTTTCCTCGGGCGGCTAAGGCGCGGCCCAAGGGAAATGGGGTGGCTCGGCCGAGCTTAACGGGCCGGCCGGCCCAAGAAGGCCCCAGACGCGCGCGCGCGCGGAGGGAGGAGAGAGAGTCCGGTGGACCGGGCTCACCACGCGCGGTCCCGGGTGGGACCCGCTTGTCAGCGGCTCGGCTCACCGTGCGGAGGGAGTACGCGGCTTATGCGCGCGGGCGGGGGAGGGATGCGGTGCACGAGCGCGGCTCGCAGTGGACGCGGATGCGGCGGGCCCACGCGCAGCCTCACGGCTCACGGTGGAACGCGCGCACGGGGAGGGACTGACCGGGGTCGGCTCGACCCTGGTCTAGGCTGAGCTGGCGCCGACGTGGCGCCTACGTGGCGGCCACGTGGGCTGGCGGGAGTTAGACGACAACCCGGCCGCGAATGGACGGCGGGCGGCGGCGGCGAGCGGCGGAGCGAACCACGGCGATACGGGCAAAAGCGAGCACACCGGGCGGTTGTTCGTGATGAGGGGAGACGAGCCAACGGCTCGGATTCGCCGGAGGGAGCTTGACGGCGGCGAATCGCGGCGGCGACAACCGGCGGGGAGGGAAGAGGGAAACGGCGACGAGGCCACGAGGGGTCGATTCCCGGCGGTTAGAGCATCTACGCGGCTTCGGGAACTCGACGCTAGCGTCGGATTGGACGGAGCTACGCCGAGCGAGGCTGGCGACGTGCGGGTGCTACGGAGCTCGAGCGGCGACGGCAGCGAGCACACAGCGAGCGACGGCAACGGTCGGGGCGGCGCCGGCTAACTACGGGGAGGCTACTCGAGCTACTACCGAAATCTAAGGGGGGAAGATGAAGCGAGGAGGAAGAACGGAGGGAGGCACTACCGTGATGAGGAGGGGCGTTGTGACAAGAGGCCGACGGCGCGGGAGTAATCTCTCCGGCCTCGGGCCGGGGAAGAGGAAGAAGAGGGCGCGGCCGAAGTCCCCTTCCGCGTCCTCGAACGCACCGGCTCTCCCGGCGCTCGGCGAAGGACGGCGGAGGCGAGACTGAGCACGGGGGCGGCGGCAATGGCGCGGAGACGAATGGGAGAGGAAGGGAAAGGGGAGGCTGGGGTTTAAATGGGCGGCAATGTCGGTTTGGGAACCGACTTGCGCGGTCAAGGTCGCGAGCTGGCGCTCGGCGGTCGCGGCCAAAGCGGCGACAGGGAGGATGACGCCGGCGAGGAGGAAAAGGGGAAAAGGAGGGGGAGAAAGGGGGGCTTGCCCCTTTGCCGATTCGGGATAAAGGAGGAGGGGAGCGGGGGCGATGCGGCATAGAGAGGAGGGGCGCTGCCTCCGTCCCTTGGCGGCTTGCGCGCGGAGTGGCGGGGGCTGGGCGGTGACGACGGCGATGACGGCGGGCGGTTTGGAGCGGCGCGACGACACGGGCGACAGACGCTGACGACGGCGGCGACCAGGCGGTCGGCCACCACGGCACGTGCGCGCGGCTTGCAACGGGAGGCGCGGCGGATGGAGCGGCGCGGCTCGGCACGCGCGCTGGCTGCGGGGCCGAGCGGCTGCAGGCGCGGCAGGGCAGCGGGGCCGGGCGGCGCAGACGCGACGCGGGCGAGGACCACGCGGACGCGCGCGCGATCAACGCGCGGGGAGCGGCAGCGAGGGAGCGGAAAGGAGGGCTTGGCTCGGCGCGGGCGGCGCGGCTCACGCGCTTGCGCGCGCGGCGCGCGGGCGAGGCGGAGCGGAGCTGAGCGGGGGGAGAAGCGGAGCGCGCCGGGGAGGGGAGAGGGCGAGAGAAAGAGAGAGAGAGAGAGAGAGCGAGGGCGCCCGGGAGAGAGGGGGCCGGGGGAGAGATGGGCCGAGCGGGTTTCGGCCCATCGACCTCGGGGGAGGCAAAATAGACTTTTGCGGAGGAATTTGATTGGAAGGATTTGGATTCGGAATTGAACTCGACGATAGATCGGGGATTGAGATCTTGAGATGGCACGGACACTAGACAATAAGCAAAGAAGCAAATTTCGTAATTAGGGTTTTTAAGAGATAATTTTCCCGCTAGGCGCCACGACGGAATGGGCACTACAGACCAACCCCCCTAACAAG